GAGGGAGGGAGGGAGGGAGGGAGGGAGGGAGACAGGAGGGAGAGGGAGAACAAACTTGATTTCCTTCTATGTATTCTAACATTTCTGCCTGGTGATCCGGGTGCAGCAACTGAACCACAGAAGCTCCACCCTGCTGGTTGACTGGCCGGACCTGTCCAGGAAAAGACTGTGGTGATGAAGTGTTGGGAGTGAGGTTAGGGAAGATGGCACAGGGTTGCACAGTAACAGTGCAGTGTCTACATGTGCTGTCAACAACAATTCCTTCTTCGGCACCGTCTATTTGGAGATTTTCCTAAATCCTAGGCAGTTGTCAGCCCTTTATTCCTGTCACTAAAAGTCTTTGGTTTGGCAGCTGGACGGTGGTGGCACACACTTTTAGTTCCAGTGCTTGTGAGGCAGAGGCAGGCAGATGACTGTGAGCTTGAGGCCAGCCTGGTCTATAGAGTGAGACTTTAATCCTAAACAAATAAATAAATAAGTCCTCTGAGCTTGCCTCTCCTATGTGAAGAAGCCAAGAAAAGAATCCAATTTTTATTTGTCAGAACTAGCCATAAGGTAAACAAATACAAAGAAAGAGTGTGCTGGCCAATTAAGCAGGAATGCAGGCTCTGGCAGAGACATGACCCAGTTTTTCCATTCACTGCCTGGCATGAGCCACCCTGACTGTGTTGGCCTGGGGAGGAGGCTTTCCCTGCTCTGCTACAAGCCTACTGCACCTCCTTTTCCCTATGGGAACACCTAATTCCCATTCAACAGAAAGGGAATGGAAAAGAAACCTGGGCTTTGATGCCACAGAGGCCTGGGTTTGAACCCTTGTTCCAAGCATCTGCTCCCTCATTCACAAATCAGACACGTCAGTCACCCTGACTTAGGTCACTGAGGTTACTAGGGGGGAGAAAGCATGTGGTCCATAGCAAACGTTCTTAGGAATGGTCTCAGTGATTGATTCTACTTGGGCTCACTGGATATATAAAGGATGCTTCCATGCTGAAAAGAGACAGGGTTTGGGCTCAAGGAACTAAAAATGCAAGAAGCAGGGTAAATTCATCTCACAAAAGGGTGGGGGGACATTCAGCATGATTAAAAAAAAAATTGCTTTTAACGTAAAAGAAGTCAAGAAAGCCACGGAGTTTTCTATGATCATTCATACTAAAAAATACAGCCAAGAAGCCAGAGGACTTCCCAGATAAACTGACACTCACATAAACACTGACATCCATTTGAAATTCCAGACTCAAAAAAAAAAAAATTAAAACCAAAGAAATGGAAATCCAGAAGGCTAGGAGTTTCTCTACTTCTTGGAGCACAAAGAAGACAGCACAGCTTCAACTGATGGATGGATTCTGGTCGGGAATCAGGCTCAAGTCTCAGCTCAACCCACCAGCGAGACGACCCTAGGCAGCTCAGGAGGACTAAATGAGAATCTAGAGCGGTGAGACTGGTCCCCACACGTGGCAAATGCTGAATTAGAGATGAAGCTACCCCTGTTGCCGCAGAAAGGCTCTGAGCATGATGCCTGTAGTGATGCGATTCAAGGCAAAAAGAAAGACTTGTGGAAGACGGAAGACGCAGATGAAAGACATACAGCTCCATCTGTGGGGGCTGCAGACTGCAAAATGAGGGTGGTGCCTGGGATTTCAAGTTTAAGGCCAGTGAGGAGCAGAGCGCCAGAATGTTCCGTCTCTGCTCCACCACACAGCACAGAAAACACACATCCCCCAACCCCCTTTCCCCCCATGCAAAGGGCATGCAGGAACACGGCCAGTGCATGATCCTTCTCACTAAGTGCCCTAAACTCCGGAAGACAGGAACTTCAAAAACACAGAAGTCAACACCTGGTGTGCAGAGTGGCTTCATTAAGCAGTGTCAAACCTGCCAACGCGAGCTCAGTGTCTAGACCTGATTATTATGAAATAAACTTGATTAAGAACAAATCCCTCTTAAGAAGAGCAAAGAACTCAGTGAGTCTCGTGCGCATCGGAAGCTGTTCTCAATTATCCCTTTCTCCTGTGAACTCCACAAAGCGCCAGCAGGTGGGAGATAATTAAAGTTTTCATAAAACTTGTTTTACATGCCTCGGTTGGAACCTTTCTGTTCCGTAAAGCTTCCCCTCTCCGGTCTAAAGAGGAACCCATAAAGGAGGGATTTTTTTTTTTTTCTCGCAAAAGAATGTTTTTCTGGTTACATTTGGGGTTTTATGACTTGAGACAGATGAGGGTGGAGGAGGTAATTTATGAAAAGGGCTATTTCTTTTTATTCATATTTACATTCTATGAGGGAGTGAGTTTGCTTTCTGGACTCTCTTCCCAAGCCTATCAGGGGAATGGAATCCTTGCTCCCATTTGGCAAGACTCACGGAGCAATGAGAGGTCCATCGCTGTCGCTAAGGCCCCTGCCTCCGCCAGCACGTGGTGAACAGAAGTGCCGACGTGGAAGGTCTGCACTGTCCCCTTCTAAAGCCTCTGTGACAGCACCCATCTGATAGCTTAGTGCCCCACTCCCAAAACAGAAAAGCTACCTCTTCTCGGATAGTTTTACTCACCAGATCTAATCCTAACACAAGGCTGGCACTGGGAAAGTTAATGGTCAAGCCTGGCATGGTGGCACACACCTTAGATCCCAGTGCTGGGGAGGCAGAGGCAAGGGGATCTCTGTATGTTTCCAGGCCAGCCTGCTCTACGTAGTAAGTTGTAGGCCAGCCAGGGCTACATAGAGAGACCCTGCCTCCAAACAACACATAGCCTATCAATCCATGAGGAAGCTAGTCATGTGGAGATGAGAGGGGCAAAACTCTTCCTTTCTAAAAAACGGAGACTAGGCAGTGAGAAACTAACTAGGTGCTTTAACACAGGGTTGGGGTAGGGGAAAGGGAGTAGGACAGGACGGGACCTGATCTTATAACTTGGGTCTTTGGCTCTTGATGGACCAGAGTGTGCTTTTCAATTGAGAGTAACCTAAGAAACCACATCATGAACAACTCATTAATTACAATTTGGGGTATTTTAATTGAACTGGGACCTTGGGTTTGAATTTAAGGAATGTATGGTGGATTGCAGGTGGACTATTGCTCACAAATCAATCACTTTCTCCTTGATGACTGTACGGAGGCTCTCTTCTGCAGTCCACACATCAGGGACCTGAGGTGGCCTTAGCAGCCCTGGAGCCTGGTACCCCCTCATTTCCACCCCTACCTTGCACCCAGCCCTCCTGGGTAAGTTGGCACTGGGGACATTGTGCTGTGGTGGGCTGTCCTGTGAATTACTGAACTCTTCTTAGCAGCAGAATCTCTGACCTCTACCCAGACACTAGTTGTAACATTTTGTGACAACCAAAAGTGGTGCCAGAAAGAAGTACGGGTGGCTGTAACAGTGACACTCCTCCTCAGTGACCACAGTGAGTACATGTTATTTGTGTTAGCTCCCGTTGCCATAACAAAACACCTCAGACAATCAGCTTCACAAGAGGAAAGTTTACTTTGGCTCACAGGTTAGAGATGTTACATAATGGTCAGATGGCCCTTTGCTTTGGGTCTGTGGGAGGCAATATTTCAATGGTGGGAGTGATGGTGGAGGAAGCTCACCTTGTGGTGTGCCTGGGAAGCCAGAGAAAAAAAGGAAGGGCCAGAGTACAAAGATCTCCTTGAAGGATGCTACAGCCCCAGCCCACAACAGGAAGGCCCCCTACTAAGTCCTTCCTTTTAAAGGTTTCCCCACATTCCAGTAGTACCCAGCTCGGCTTAAACTTTTAACACTTGGGCCCTTGGGAATATTCCAGATAGAACGGAACTGGGGTACCCTAGTAGGGTACTGCCTTGTGTTCAGGTACCTCCAGGCTCTGGCAAAGAGAGAGCCTGAGGTAACAGTTTTTGTTTTGTTTTTATCTCTCTGATTGAGAGACAGGCACCCTAACAAACAACAACTTCTGCTTTGTAATATCTGCTTGAACACACTCCCTTCCACTAGAATACACAGCTGAGATGTAACTACAGCAAGTTCAAATCCCTCTACTGGGTCTCTACTGGCCGCCAAACAAACCCCCTGAGAGCTATTCCCAAACCCTCACTCCTTTTTGCCCGACTTCCTTTCCTTTATCCAGAGTACTTTATAATTTCACCTCCTCCAAAGAAATAAGCAAGTCATTTCTTTAAGAAGAAAAAATGGAAGCCAACAGCACACACATCAGGAGACGTTTCAAGGGGCGTTAACTGCCATACAATGCAGGGATGAGGACAGACCAGCAAACATCACCTAAAGCGGCTACCAGCTCCTAATGGTTAATCTTGGTTGTCAACCTGACTGCACCAAGAAGTGCCTGGATGAGTAAGGCATGCCAACGAGATGTGTGTGGGTGTGGAAGCATTTCCATGTAGGAAGGGCAGCCCTGAATGTGGGCCAGTACCTCCCGCCCCCATGTTGTGGACTGAAAAGAAAAGGAAGAGGTCCACCCATGAAGACACACCTATTCTGCTCCCTAGTTGCCTGAGTACTTTCCCTCTGTCACACCCTCTTCTCCAGGACCTGAAACCCAACCAGGTGAGCACAGATAAAGCCTCTGCAACAATGAGCCCTTAAGCTGATTCTGTGGTGCATTTGTTACAGCAATGAAAACCTAACACTTGGTTCAGAAAGAACTCATCTTCTCTAAGATCACTCATTTTTTTTTTTTACAACATTGTCAATACCTTCCATCACCAAACTTTTGGGGTAACACGTCTACATAGGCTACTCCTATAACTCCCAGGGCTGTTGGGAAGGTTAATTTGGCTGGTATCTGTAAACCTTTTAACATGGAGTCTGGCACACAGAAAAGGGTTAAAACCAGATGGTTTTAGCTGTTATCTTAGTGTTTCAATTTCACTTTAAACTAAAATCTCACATCTCACTCATACTAGTCCAGGACCTTTCTATGGATTTGGCATTGTTTTTGGAGCACACTGTTCCCAGCCATCGAATTTATCATCCAGTTTCAAACTTTGACCAACAGACACTGGGACTTTCCCAGGCTTCTGAGACGATATGATGGACCCACCTGTCCTGGTTATTCATACACAGCCTCCTCACCTCCAGATGCCACATATCACAGAACATTCCCCCCTTTTCTTCAAATTGGTCCTTTTCTAGGTTTGGCTATTTAACTTACACCTCTCATGAACAAGTCCACACAGTAGATAAATGCTGATCAGTAATGAAAACTGCAGCCTTCGAAACAATAGAGCCTCTCTCTCTCTCTCTCTCTCTCTCTCTCTCTCTCTCTCTCCACACACACACACACACACACACACACACACACACACACACACGAGTCTTCAGGAAAGCCACTGGCAACCCAGGGCTGCTGTGCCCGGGAAAATGAATTGCTGTGGGAGGATGAGAACAGCCATCAGCTCCTGGCAGGCCCTAGACAAGCCCAAGCCAGGCTCACCTAAAGAGTGAGCAAGAATGTTTGAGAAGGGGAGACAGAATCCTGGCTTCTGGTGGGAGAGGCAGTTGGGAGGAGACTCAGAGGTTGGGCTGGGCATGTGGTTCCATGGGAGAGCACTGGTTAGCACCTGTGAGACTCTAGGTCTGAATTCTGTCACTGCAATGGGGGGAGGCAGGCAAACAATAACATGCAGACCTGGCCCTTTTTTGTTTTGTTTTGTTTTTTGTTTTAACAGAATAACTTTTAAATTTTATTTGTTTATTATGTGCATTGATATTTTGCCTGCATGTATATCTGTGTGAGGGTGTCAGATCCCCTGGAACTGGAGTTACAGCCAGTTGTGAGCTGCCAAGTGATTGCTGAGAATTGAACCCAGGTCTTCTGGAGGAACAGCCAGTGCTCTTAACCACTGAGTCATCTCTCCAGCACCCCAGGGCTGGCTTTTTAACAAAGGACAAACAGCTAGCAAAAGAAATCATGTGATTGGGGGTAGGGGCTCAATTTCTTCTTAACAGCTCCTTGCAGGGTCAGCTGCATTTCCAGCTTATCAGTCAGTCAGAGAGAAGCAATCACTTAACTTAATAAGGGAAGGAAAGTGCCAGGCAGCTTTGCTGATATCCTGCATGCTTCCGCTGTCGTGGAATGGGAATAGAGAAATTACAGACAGTGCAACCTATTAGCTTCCTAATGCCTCTCCCTGGTGACCAGCAAAGATTTCTTCAGCTCAGTGTTAAATGAATTCCTCATTCACTATACTTAAGGACAACTTGACACTCTGCATCCAGAAAGTTCTCTGAGTGCTCCAGTGGCTGGGCAGTATGCAATTTTCAGATAACTACCCACCTACTGACAGGAATTTCTCCCCTCCCTGACATTCATCTTTGTGCCTATCAGGATATCAGGCCCTCTCTCAGCCTCTCTGAGGGGGCTGCTGCCCTTGCACAGGGCTCAGAGCTTCTCGTTTCTTGGTGGCAGTGGCTCTCTGTACATTGTAGACCATTTACAGCACTCCTGGCTTTCATCACCCTTGCCTCCCTGAGTCTAGACAAATATCCCCAAGGGGCAACTTGAGAGGCACTGACCTGGTTCTGCACTTTATGTTCTTTTAGGAAAACACACTCCTCCTGGTCCCCCACTGCCTGGGACACATTGGTCCCATCTTTGCCTCTCAAGTCAACAGAAACTTGTCAGGAAGTCACCTCCTTTGAAAATCAGCTTTTCTTCTCCACTCTCCAAAAGAAGGGCAGGGCTGAGATGCCTGCTCTATGCATGTTTCTGGCTCTCTCTGCACTTGGCTCTGTGCATAGGCGCACCTGGTTGTGTGTGCACCTGGCTGTGTGTGCACCTGGCTGTGTGTGCACCTGGCTGTGTGTGCACCTGGCGCTGCACATGCTTTTGTCACAGCACCTCAGTCACAGCATCACCATCACCTCCTTCCTTCATGTAGTATCTCATCTGCCCACTTGTTAGCTCATGGTGTTAACACACGGTGAAGTCTTGGGAACACTTGGGCTCCTGCTCTCAAGGGTGAGAGTCCATAAACAATAGTATACAAGAGAGTAGTGGTTATTAGTTAGAGCTATAAAGTAGAGGGGCTGGTGAGATGGCTAGGCTCATAAAGGCACTTGCTGCAGGAGCCTGGCAACCTGAATTCAATCCCTGGATCCTACATAAAGGTAGAAGGAGAGAATCGACTCCACAGAGTGTCTTCTGACCACCACCACCACCACCACCACCACCACCACCAACAACAACAACACACACACACACACACACACACAGGTTTTAAATACACAAATCAGTCAATAAATAGGGAAACTGAGGCTTAGAAACAATGAATGGCCATGGAGCTGAACTCCTGGGTCCATGTTCTTTCTTGCCACACTGTCTAGGAACAGACAGACAGGCTAGGCAAAAATGTTGAGCTAGGTCTCTCTGCCCCCAAGGCTTCTGGCAGGCCATGGCTAGCACTTGACATCCTCCCTCGGTGGGAAGGGAAGGTGGTAAGTTTATTTACAATCAAAATGAATCTGCTAGTTCAAGGAGAAGAAAAACAAATGGCAGTCATTTTTCAGATTCCTGTCACTGGGAAGGACCTCAACATTAGCACTTTATTAACAAGGCCAAAAATCACTCAAAAACCATCGTCTATAAAGAAAGTGGCATGCTTTTTCTCTTAAAGGACAAGGAGGCCTTAGAGGTTTAAACACGCAGGCTCATTCTGCAGTGATGGTCACAGGACTCCAGCTGCTGGGCTGGACACATCTTCTGAGAGGCCAGGGGACATGCCTGGATTTCAGGAAGAGATAGACCCTTCCTTCTGCTCTGGTGCACTTAACCTCAATCCCAACCACACCATCCATAAAATTCAGGAAAGCCAGCGGGGATGGCATCTAAACTAGACGTACCAGCTCCTTCCCTTCTCCAGTTTAGAACCCTGGCCTGATTTATACCTCTCATGGAGATGTGAGACCCAGATTCAACAGCCAGCTCTGCCCAGACTCTAGTTCCGGTGCTCCAGTTTCCTTGGACTCACCTCCCCTGATGCTAAAACACAGAGAAAAGTCCCTTCCTTCAGCAGCAGTTACAGTGTTCAAGGACACACTGAAGGGGAAGCCAGTGCCTGGAGGTTATGGACACACCAAATCGTTAGGTTCCATCTCAGTCAATCCAGTGTCAGTTTCCCCCTGGACTTGGTGGTGTCCCAGTGAATCGCCAACTGTCTAGAAGTTGGACCGTGATCCTCAGCCAGAGCTCCAGCTCCTCTTCCACCATCTCCCAAAATAGCCCTAGGTTTTCAGTTCAGGTTGTGAGTCAAGGTTGAACCCGAAACCAGAGGAAGCATTTCTACAGTCAGCCCACTCCTCGACGACTTTACCCACAGCTCCCAAAGACACAGAGAAGAATTAGCTCTGTTCCCCTTCCAATGCAATAGTCCACATTAGCTCAGGAACTCTGCAGCCAGGAAGGTAACAGAAAACACTGTTTCTTGTGTGTCAGGGATGCAACCCAGGGCCTCACACCCATCTGGTAAGTATTCTGTCGCTGAGCAACACCTATGACCCCTTAAGGATAAAAATTAACTGGGGCTATGAAGACAGTTCAGTCAGTAAAATTCTTGCCTCCCAAGCAAGAGTACCTAAAGTCAACCAACAGGACCCACGTGAGATGCTGAGTGTGGTGGCACACACTGTAGTCCCAGTGGTACAGAGGCAGAAACAGGAGGGTTCCTGAAATTTAACCACTGAGTTCCAGGCAATAAAAGCATCATTATTAGGTAAAAACTTTTCTACTCTATCGGGTTTTCTTTTTCTTTTCTTTTCCTTCCTTCCTTCCTTGCTTCCTTTCTTTCTTTCTTTCTTTCTTTCTTTTTTTTTTTTTTTTGAAACAGGGCTTCTCTGTGTAACAGCCCTAGCTGTCCTGGAACTCATTCTGGAGACCAGGTTGGCCTCAAACTCACAGAGATCCACCTGCCTCTGCCTCCTGAGTACTGGGATTAAAGGCATGCACCACCAAGGTTTATTTTTATTTTCTGCATATTAATGTTTTGTCTGCATGCATGTATGTGCACATGTGTGCCAGTTGAATCCCTTGGAACTGGAGTTATGAATGGCTGTGAGCTGCCATGTGGGTGTTAGATACTGAACCTGGGTCCTCTGCAAGAGCATCACGTGCTCTTAACCCCTGAACCATCACTCCAGTCCCTGATTTTTGTACAATAGCTCATTTAACACACAGGTCAACTCTTGGAACTCTATGACCTCCACTTTCTAGTTGGAACACTAATGTTCAAAGAGGCTCAGAAATTAATGGGCTTCTTGGGGGCCATGCACAAGGCCCCAAATATTGCAAAATGATGATGAGGAGATGGATGGACTTGATTAAAGTCAGCCTGTGAGTGACTTGGCAGGATTTGAACCCAGGATGTTACCACAGTCACGAAATCTTAACCAAATATTAGACTAGCTCCCTCTTGGGCTGAGCCCTCAGAACTCTTCCTGATGAGTACCTGGTAACATTCATGTCTCTTGTTTGTAGGAAAGTCCGTTCTAGACAAGGAAGAGTTAAGACTGCATGGACAAACTCAGAACTCCAAGCTTTCCAAGTTTTGTGGGCTCAAGTCAGACTTGTAACATTAACTTTAATGTAAATTTTTTTGGAAGTGATTCACATAGAATTCCTGCCAAAAAATTTAATAATTAGACAGCTTTAGCTCAACCTTTGTCCGTACATGCCTAACAACATCTGCTCATCTGACATGGACCCTGGAAGCTGTATCAAGCCTGGAAAAGGGTGGCTGGACCTGGAGAACGCCATGTACTGCAGGTTAGCCCTGTGAGCACCTGCCAGTTTCTACCTGCACTATCGCCTCAGCCCAGCTAACCCCTGTGCTGGCTGCATCCCATCCCACAACTACCACGGACTAAAAGGAGGGACACGTAGACTGCAAAGGGTCAGTCATAAAAGGAGCATTTCCCCTGTTTTTCTACCCCAACCTGCAGGTGTAAGGTGGACTCATCGGTATGGCAGCATTTTGCTAAGGGGAAGCCCATGTTACTCAAAACAGGAATTATAATAAAGCCGTAAGGAATAGGCCTGGAGTGAGACTCAGTGGCAGTGCGCTTCTGTCATATGTACAGAGTCCTGGATTCCATCTCCAGCATCGAGAAACAAAAATGAAAGGGGTTTCACTTCTCCTTGAAATACAAAGTTGAAGGAAAGCAAAAACAAAACAAAACAAAACAAAAACAAACAAACAAAAAAACTGCCAAGTCAGCATCCCCCTCAGAGTTGCTGCAGGGGTATATATAGTAATGGCCACGATAGCACTCTGTGGGGCTGTGCATAGCTGGTGACTGTTATTATGGCTGCCTTAAGCAAGGACACCATCCTTACAGGTCAGTAGTGTTCTCCCCTGAACTCTACAAACACTTGCCGAACACCTGCCCTTTCTTCCCTAAGCATAAAAAAGAATCAACATTAACAGTTCCTTAGCAAGCCAGGCTTGGAAACACAGGCCTGAATACCCAAGGCAGGGGAATTTCAAGTTCAAAGTCTGCCTGAGCTACAGAGTAAATCCAAGGCTAGCCTGGGCAACTTAGTAAGAACCTGTCAAACAAACAAACAAAAAATCCCTAATATGGGTACCATATGAGAAGCCAGAAACCTACTTTATAAGAAAAATTCCATTATGGTTTCTGAGTTATATTCAAACTGCTTTTTTTTTTTAATTACACTTACATATGTGCATGTCAATGCAGGTGTCTGTGGAAACCAGAAGAAAGTGTCAGGTTTCTTGTGACCTGCCTGATGTGAGTGCTGGGAATTGAACCAGGGTCCTTGGGAAGAAGAGCCAGCTCTTAACCACTGAGCCATCTCTCCAGACCCCTAGGGCTGAGTGTGGTGGCATTTTGTGGGCAGAAGCAGGAGGACCATCACAAATTCTATGTCAGTCTGGTCTCCATGACAGCCAGAGCTACATAGCAAGACTCTATCTCAGAAAGCAAGTAAACAAATCAATGAAGAATGGTGGGGGGGGGGGTGTGGAGAGATGGCTCAGAGGTTAAGAGCACCGACTGCTCTTCCAGAGGTCCCGAGTTCAATTCCCAGCAACCACATGGTGGCTCACAACCATCCGTTATGAGATCTGGTGCCCTCTTCTGGAGTGCAGATATACATGGAAGCAGAATATTATATACATAATAAAAATAAATAAAATCTTTAAAAAAAATGAGGGAAGGGAGGGAGGAAGGGCTGGAAAGATGGCTCAGCAGTTAAGAGCACTGACTGCTCTTGAATACCCAGTTTCAGTTCCCAGCACCCACAGTGGGTAGCTTACAACCACCTGTAATTCCAATTCCGGGGGAATCTGACGGCCTCTCCTGGCCTCCCAGGGTACGGCATGCATATGGTGCACATACAGACAAGCAGGCACACATACACACACATATATCTTGATTGGAAATCATACTAGGGTCATGGTCAGCAAATTCTGGAGGGAGCTAGCCAAGGGGACACAGCAGTACACAGGACGCATCTGAAAGGAGTTAATCAAGATGGAGAAAGACATCTGTTCCCGCCTTTACTCATCCTGTTCCTGCTGCTTCTGTATCATAAGACACCCAGAAAATTACCTATTAATGTAGACGATTGTTTCTGCCTGCAATGTTTTAGGGCTAAGAAGAGAATTAAATGTCTAAATATTTCTTACTAGCTGAACAAAAGACCTACTATACACTCCCCATCTTCTATGGAATAGAGACAACAATGCAAGCTTGGAGTAGCAATTAAGTACCTAAGTGACTAGTGATCATTTTATGAAGAGTAACTTAATGAAAAAAAAAAAAAAAAAGAGAGGGAGAGAGAAAGCTTTTGTCTCCAAGGACTAATTGTAGGGTTGGAGTGTGCTTAGTGGGAGACTGTTTGCCCAGCATGTACAGGGTCCTCCAACACCACAAGGGGGAAAATTAACTGTTGCTAGAGAACACATCTTTGTTTCCAAATCCATGTTCAGTATTTGACACTAACGCCACTCCAGGACAACAAGAGAGCACCAGCTCTGGAGGAGCTTATGAAGACCCTCAACAGCATCTTTACCTCACAGCCAAAATCAGCCTTTCTCATGGGTGCCCACAGCACCCTCACAGAGTGCCCACGGGATCACCTAGGGTGTCTCACAAAGGGGAGGAGGAGTGACTACAGCTTGCATGTACAGACCAGTTTTGGGAAATCCTGGATCAACAGAAATTCTCCAGGGTTATCTGGTACCTGTAAAGAGCTGCTGCATTAGTTACTTTTCTCTTTAGTGTGGCAAAATACCCCAGGAAAGCACCTTCAGGAAGGAAGTGTTTGTTTTAGTTCACAGTCAGAGAGTACAGTCACCAAAGACATGGTGGCAAGAAGATGAGGCAGCAGCTGGCCACACTGTATCCATCCCTAGTAACCCACCTCTGCTGACCAGGTCCCACCCCCTGAAGGTTCCATAGCCTTCAGAAAGAGCACCCCCAAGTGAAAAACATCACCCAAAGCATGAATCTGTGGGGACAAGTCAGACAGAACTACAACAGGAGCTGGGTCTGTCTCCAACCCGTCACCTCTCCCTTCTGTCTCCCTGCTCCCTGGCAGCGATGAGGTGAGCTGCTTGCCTCCATCATACAGGTCACCCATCCCCTCTTCCCCCAAGGACATGATGCCTCATATCAGGCCCTAAAGTAACAGGGACAAATAGCCATCAAATGGATCATTCAAAACTGACAGCCAAAGTAAATCTTTCTTCAAGTTTTTATCATGTTTTGCCACAGTAACACATATGACAAAACTTTGGAAACTATCACAGCTAAATCTACATAGTCCAGGGCAGTGGCTCCCAAACACAGGCCAGGGGCTCCCTGGGGAGGGCTGCAGGATCAGCAAAAAGGTCCTTCAGCTACAAGGGAACCAAAAATTGTTTTTTTGTTTTTTGTTTGATTGTTGTTGTTGTTGTTTTGGTTTTTTCAAAACAGGGTTTCTCTGTATTGTTTTGGAGGTTGTCCTGGCCCTCGCTCTGTAGACCAGGCTGACCTTGAACTCACAGAGATCCCCCTGCCTCTTACACACACACACACACACACACACACACACACACACAGAGTTTTAAAACATCCTGGAGGATTTTGTCCTTCTGTTTTAATATCATTAAGGTATGGCAAAAATCTAACATTGCAAATGCTCCTTCCCTATAACCCTAGCACTCTGGAGGCAGAGGCAGGTAGATAGATCTCTACGAGTTAATGACCAACTAGGTCTATATAGCAAGTTCCAGGCCAGCCAGCACTACATAATGATAGCACTACATAATGTCTTAAACAAAACAAAACCCAGAAGCTAACAAGGAAAATCCTCCCAAATACAAATGCTTCCCAGCCATACTGCAATTTTAGAATGTGCCACTCTTCCACATCAAAGAGTAGAAGACATTGTATTCCTTTTTCAGTGATACCAAAGGGACGAGTTCTTGTGTGTCTTTGAATACAGTCTCTAAATAACATTTTGACAGCCCTGCACTGAGGAGAGAAACAATAAAGGCACAGAGACCCTGCTGTGACACTGACTGCACACAGAACACGGCACTGCTCTGCTCCTGCTCTGGTTTTGCAGGATGAAACACGCAGGTTTGATAGCTCATGTTCCAAAGGACAGGAGTCTTGCACTCCCGTGGGTACCACAGATGAAGAGGGTTAACACAAAGCAGCTCACAGCAAATGGCATCTGTCTTAGGAGATGTTAGCAAGTGATGCCCCTTCAATGGCTGCATCTATTGTACAAAAAAAAAAAAATGTCTGTGAAATATTCCCACCATACAGGCAGGTTACTTGACAAGAGAAAAATAATCTTAAATGTCATTTTACCTACTCACTGGGAATCGCTTCTGGAGAAGATGTACAAAAACCAGTTTTTCTTCCAAGAAGTCCTGTTGTAGGATATAGCCACTCATCACATCTTTTAAATCAAACAACCCACGACTCCAATTCTAATCTAAGTGGCATAGACTGATGAAAAAATGTCTTCCCAGTGCTGTGGGGATGTCTTTAAAGCCCCCAGATTTAAAGCCCCCAGAGTGTGATGCTGTCTTTTTTTTTTTTTAAGGAATTTATCATTGGTTTCAAGTTAAGCATTCAGTTGCTACAAATACTCAGAATTGATGGTTTTGTTTTTTTGTTTTTCAAAAACTATGTTCTCCATACAGCATTATTGCTTGGAGGAACGGATGCCAACAAATGTGGTCAGTATTGTTTCCATTCTTCTGGCAAAGCCTGTGCTGGTCATCTCAATCCTGTCTGTCCTTGATTACTTCATTTACAGTCACTTGCAAATTCAGAATGGCTTTTCCAAATGGAAACGGGGGAGGGGTGAGGGGTGCATCTGGGCCCCTCTGATGAGTTTCGGAATTGGCAATGTAGGCGGGGCTTTCTGTCTTTCCCACATAGCTTAGATGAGGGCAGACCAGGGAAAAAACTTCCTCACTCGAGGCAGAAGTCCTGAAGAGGCCAGTCAGTGTCCACCTTCTGAGGGGCTGTGATCTAAAGACAGAGCCCTTCTCACTCTTATCTTTTTTAGCTTTAAAAGAGATTTTTAAAGAATATTTTGCCAGTTAACTGCATTCTGCATACTCTCAGAGGACACTGAGTTCCCACAGTACATGTGTGTTCAATTTTATTGCTCTGCACTTGATATGTAGCTTTGTGGCTGTTCAAGGCATTTTTTTGTGAACATTATGTTTCTGTCTTCCCCTGTGGATACACTAAACTTGTTTTGTTTGTTTGCTTTTGTTTGCTCAAGACAGGGTCTCTCTGTGCAGCTGTGGCTGTCCTGGAACTTGCTCTATAGAACAGGCTGGCCTTGAACTCACAGGGATCCACCTGCCTCTGCCTCTCAAGTGCTGGGATGAAAGGCGTACACCACCACTGCCTAGCCTACCCTAAGTTTCTAAACAATAAAAGTCAGGCCCTGATTTCTCTTTAGAATTTTTTTTTTAGATTTATTTATTTATTATGTATACAGCATTCTGCCTCCATGTATATCTGCACACCAGAAGAGGGCACCAGATCTCATAACGGATGGT